TTCGAGGATCAAAATAGGAAGCTCAATCAACGCATGGACAGTCTTGAGCAATATACCAAGTCCTCTATTCACAACTTAGAGGTCCAAATTGGCCAACTTGCACAAGAGAGAACTACTAGAGAACATGGAAGATTTCCCACAACAACGGAAGTCAACCCAAGAGAAACGGCTATGGCTATCACTTTGAGAAGTGGTAAGGAAACGAAGGGGCCGGTTACTCAAGATGCACCAATGGAGAAGCAAGGAGAGGAAGGGCTAGAGGAGCATGTCTCATCACCACCACCCATGGCAACATATGTTCCCCCTATCCCTTACCCTCAAAAGTTGAAGAAGAAAGATGACAAAAAACAATTCAAGAAGTTCCTAGACATCTTCACCAAGTTGAGCATCAACATCCCTTTCATCGAGGCTATAGCGGAGATACCCTCATATGCAAAATTGCTGAAAAATATCCTCAACAACAAGAAGAAGTTGGCTGATTTTGCAACCATACCGCTCACGGAGGAATGTAGTGCCATTCTCCAAAATAAGCTACCGCCGAAGATGAAGGATCCCGGGAGTTTCACCATTCCTTGTTCTATTGGGAGTCTAGGAGAAGTAAGATCCCTTTGTGATCTTGGAGCTAGCATCAACCTAATGCCACTCTCTCTATTCAAGAAGCTAAGTGTGGGGGAGCCTACACCTACAACAATAGCTCTTCAATTGGCGGATAGAACAATCCGTTATCCTATCGGAGTGGTGGAAGATGTTCTTGTAAAGGTTGGCAAATTCTATCTCCCCGTTGACTTTCTTATTCTAGAAATGGATGAAATGGAGATTCCGGTTATTCTTGGAAGGTCCTTTTTAGCCACGGCGGGTGCTCTTATTGATGTTAAGAACGGAATAGTAAAATTCCGTATTGGAGAAGAAGAACAAGAGTTTCACGTTTGGGAATCATTGAAGAATCCACCTATCAACTCCACATGTTTTAATGTCAACTCCACATTTGATACTACACCGCAAAGTACTCCGAAGCATGAATCACATGAAGACCCTCCTATCTACAAGGAGAAATTTGAGACACGGCATGACAAGAAGAAAGGTGAAATAGAACTTCAAGTTGGGCATAAAGTTCTTCTTTATGACTCACAGTCCCGATTATTGCCCGAAAACTTGGAACCTCATTAGTCGGAACCATTCACCATCATCGAGGTTCAACCATTTGGAGAGATGGTGATCCAACAAGGGGAGAATAACCCTTTTGCCGTCAATAGCCATCATTTGAAGCTGCACAAAGAGTACTATACAACTTCCTATCCATTCAAGAAATGATCACGAAGAACGTCCGGCCAATGACGTTAAAGAAGGCGCTTGTTGGGAGGCAACCCAATTTCATATCCTTTTTATTTACATGTTTGTCTTTCATTATGCTTTTATACTCTTATTGCTTGTGGACGATGCAATTCAAGTGTAGGGGGAGAAGCAAAGCAAAGAAATGTGAAGTTTCAAGGCAAATTTTGAACAAAGTGGGCGGAATTAGCAAAGGCATCGAAACCCGCCCAGCTTTCGCGAAAGCCGCCCGGCATTTGGTCGCCGTAGGTTAATTCCATTTACTCAGATCGAAAACCGCCCAGTTTTCCCGAAACCCGCCCGCCTTTCAGGTCTGCTTCCCAGGTATTTTTCTCGCACACGAAACCCGCCCGGTTTTCGGGATTGTCGCCCGGCTTTTGAGCGCCGAAGGTAATTCCAGATTATTTAAATCGAAAGTCGCCCGACGTTCGTGTAAGCCGCCCGGCTTACGGGTTCTGGGAACAATCTGTTTAACCGAAAGCCGCCCGGCTTTAGCATATGTCGCCCGGCTTTCGGGGACGAATGTTTTATTACCTGTTCTGTTTAAACACAAACACACGCACACAACTCCCGAAAGACGCCCGGCGAACGAGAGAGCTCGAACGACAACCCCCATTCTTCACGTTTCTTCTCCTCTTTCAAGCTCAAAACAGGTTCAAATGGCTCCAAAGGGGAAGTCTGTTAGCACCGAGGCTGGCCCGAGCAATCCCAAGCGGGCAAGGAACAACAAGGCACCCGCGGCCTCCTCCACCATCTTGCCTTCTAGCCGGTTTGTCAACACCAAGTGCTATGAACGGTACTTGGAATCTAGGGACAACGATTTCGTTGTTGAGAAGACGGTGTCACAACCTATTGACCACGAGTACCGGCTCACCGAGGCCTTCGCTAATATCGATTGGGAGCCGGTGCTACATCTTGAAGGCACCTTCTACCCGGAGCTCGTCAAGGAATTTTTCGCAAATATTGAGGGAAATAACCCCCAAAAGATGATTGAGAGCCGGGTCAAAGGGGTAAAACTCACTATCACAAATGACCTATTGAGATCTCAGTTTCACATCACCAACCACGGCATTCCTTTCGCCCCTTCCCAAGCCGGAGCAATGAATAGCGACGTTAGCTACAACCCCTTGGATGCGATGCAATATTTCGGCTTGCAAGGACACGAGCTTATGACCAAGAACCTTGGTCAACCACACATCCGGGCCCGGCTTTTGATGTACCTCTACTCATTCAACGTCATGCCGAGAGCAAGTGGTTACAACAAAATTCGAAACGCCGACCTCTACTTCGCGTATAGGATGCTTGCCGGGCTTGGACGTTGTGAGGGGATTCCTCTATCAAGCATCATCATCAAACAATTGTGGAGCGCGGCTTTGAGCAGCAACCAAGATAAGGCCTTCATTTTCCCTATTTTACTATCTAACATTTTTGAGCATTTTGGTGTTAGCTTTAGAGGGGAAGAAGAACGGGACACACACGCCGTGCTTGATGATAGTGTCATGATACACCTTCGCTATTTCCAACCGCCGCACGGAGGACCATGGAGGTGCGTGGAGAGATTCCATAGAGTCGTGCCCGAAGAAAATGAGGATGAGATGATGGAAGGTGGAGAGCCCGAAGGAGGTCATGCGGAGCACCACGAAGAGGCACCTCACGTACCTCAAGCCGGAACTCATTACGACATGGACTATTTGACCGAACAATTTGGTCAAATTCATACGGAGCTTGCGGTTCATCGACGGGATTTGCGGGACCAAAGGCGGGCTATTGAAGGCATGGGGAGTCATCTTTGGAACATGAACTACTATTGCCAAGAGTTAGGGCGGCACTTCAGCATTCCACCACCGCCACCTTATGACCCGCACTTTTATTTCCCTCCCCAAGGAGATGGAAATGAAGGAGATGAGTAGGTTATGACAAGGGAAGTGTACTAAAAATACTAAACTTGAACCACCTTTTCTTTGTCTTTCTTTAAACTCCTTGTGCTACTTTTGTGCCTATTATGTGTTGTTTGATTGCTTATTTTCTTGCTTTGCAGTTAATTACTCTTGTGCTTCACATTGGGACAATGTGGAATAAGTGTGGGGGGGTGACTTTATACTTGAAAAATGTGCAAGGTTTTTACTGGAAAAAATTGTTCGTTTTTGGTCCATATTTTTTTTTTGAAAAATATTTTAGCAAAACCCTTGTCCTTCAAACCCTTTTTCAAAAGAAACTTTTCTTAAGGTTTTGCCTTAATATTTTCATAGAAAGTTTTGAAATTTGCTTGAGGACAAGCAAAGCTCAAGTATGGGGGTATTTGATAAGCGTTTTATTAACGTGTTTTACACAATCATTTATAAACGCTTTCACACTTAAAAGAATTAAATCTTCACACATATGCCTCGTTTTGCTAGAAGTTCTTTAAATCAACAAATGGATCAAATGCAAGGATGGTAGAATACACACGAAGAAACCGACGGAAAAAGGTCAACCAAACGCATCCCGAGGAACAAATAAAGATCACAAAAAGGCCCAAGACAGACGAAAGCCGCCCGGTTTATGCCAAATGCGGCCGGCCTTTGGTCCGCAAGCTTATTTTCGCATCCAAAGCTGAAAAATCTGATCCGGAGCAAGAAAGGACGAAAGCCGCCCGGCTTTCGTGAACACCGGCCGACTTTTGATCGCCGAAGGAATTGTTCAGAATTTAATTACAAAAGCCGCCCGGCTTTTGTAAATGGCGGCCGGTTTTCGACCCCTGGAGCGGAGGAGCAGCATTTTAAACGCGCAAAAGCCGCCCGGCTTTTGCGAAAGTCGCCCGCCTTTCGTCTGGAATTGATTAAAACAAGCAACGGTCATCACAATCATTCGAGAGAAGCTCCAAATCCAATTAAGGAGCTTGCTTCCTTGTCTAAAAATGGCCGTTGAAGACCAAATATTTAAGCATATGGAAGCCCTCTCAAGTGATTATTCCATATTCCATACACTTTACTTCCATTTTAGCACTCCAAGATCAACCCCTTGGTCTTGGGAGAAGTTCTACACTTGGGGATCCCATTATCCACCATAGCTTTGGAGTTGTGGTATTATCTTCTTATGTATTTCATTGTATTTCATCAATTCAATACTTGTAATTTCATTATGAGTTGCTCTAGCTAATTTTCCATAGCCAAGGTTAGGGATGAAACTTTACGCACTCTAGGTGTTTGATGTATGTTCTCAACCAAATTATTATGATCCTTCCTTTTTATTTTAATGTGTATGACTACGGTGTACAACGTATGATTATATCGTTGGGTTTATTTGAGCAATTAACGTTGAGTTATAAATCGTGCACTTAAAGGCTAGACATATTCTAATTGTGGATAGAAATATACCTCAATTGAATATGGTGGTTGTAATAATGTCCTAATCTCCAATGGGGTTAATTTTAGATGAATGTGAACCGTGACGGGATTCACACGTAGAATTAATCACAATCTCGCTGCCGTAACAGGAGTTAGAATACTTTAGCGACATTCCACTCATAAGAATTGGTGAAAGAATATACATTAATCGCTAGGAGTCGTTTAGGAGTAATCCCGAACCCTTGGTTGCTTTTATTATCACTTGAAAAACCAAAAATCTTTACTCTTTTACCAAGTCTTTTACAAATTATATTCTCAACTTTTGAATCATATAAACAACGTTTCCTCGTGTTCGACTCGGTATTTTTACCGGATTTTATTACTACATCGGCACTTGTACACTTGCAAGTCTAAGCCAATCAGTACACTCACTGGCTCACTGCAAAATTATGCAAAAATAGTGCAAGGGATCTATTACTACGGCTTAGATCTCCACGTGGTTCCAAAACGTTTAGCCCAAGCACCACCAGGCCACGAACAACACCACAAAGGTGTATCAAGGACCAACCATAGTGCCTTCTCAACGTTCACAAAGAGTAGAAAGGAGTATGTGGAAGAAGAGGCCACGGAATCCACACACAGAGTGACAGTGATGAAGAGGGGATCACGGCCAGGTGACCGGAAACCACCAGTTCCGGTTAGCAACTAAGGCTCCAACTAATGCCGGAGCTGCTTAAGTATCGGCTAGCAAGTAGTGAACCGCAAGGAAAGATTCTGTAGGAGGCCCGGACAAACAGATAGGGCCAAGGCTGCTAAGCGGACAGGCCCAAGACCAAGAGAAGGCAAATGAGTTGCCTTGGACCCAGATGGGCCAATACCTCCAGCACAAAGAAAAAGATGTTTGAGTAGCCCCTCATTCTCCGTAAAGAAAGCGGTCACAAGAATATCTGAATATCTATACCGAACCATATATATGTGCAATCCGAGATATGAATTAATGTAACGAGAGAATTGGGTGTATATACTCTTTAGAATTTGTTTGTAGTTTTAAATTAATATTATATATTTACAAAAATAAAATGCATAGTCTTTTACGAAGAATTACCGGCTATGTATATTCAATAGTAACGTTGAAATAAATGGACTTTGGTTCTATTCTAATTGAATTTTTACCAGCAAGTATGGTTTGTTGTATTTATGAATGCTAACACTTGTTCTGTATTAATCTTCAAAGTGTTATACACTTCATTAAACATAAGGAAATTTCTATGGTACCTTCTAAAATTTAGGAGGTACCGGTACCCAAGTTTTTTTAAACCAATCACATTACTACAGTATGCCACGTGGATATCGCTCTCATATACTCCGTATCGTCGTAATCTGGCCGCCGATCTTCTCAGTTCTCACATACGGACATACCGGAGTACTTGGTAAGTTGGTACTCCGTATCATAGTACATACTAGGATGGCAACGACGCTCATGGTATACAACAATAATCTTGCTGAGAAGTTCGTCGCTTGACGTACTAGGAAATTCTCCTTCAACTCAGAGGAGGTCATGCCCTGCATCGGCGTCAAACTTATTTTCCTCCATCCTGAACAATTCGTTAAAGGATGCCTCAAACTCATCACCTTCTCCGGCCAAGATAACATCGTATATCTGGCCGGAATGCTACCAATAAGGATTGCCACCATTAGTGTTCCTCGTATCTTCTCTGTCGATTTTGGAGAAGTGATAGTGTCCAGGATTCAAAGTATGAACTGACCCTAAGGCATACAAAGAGTGGATGCCAGAAAGTTGGAGAATTACGGCCAAGGAAGAAGAAGCTGCGTGCGATTGATTAATTTAGTAATCTCTTGTAGCCTATTGTTTAGGCTAATTTGATACTTTTCCTAATCGAAATGATGTACGTAGTATTTTTTTGGCTCTATGACATTTTAATTTAGCATGATTATCATAGTACCTGAAGTTAGACAATTAATTTCATCTGATATAAGGGGCAAACGAGAAAAACACATAGTGGTATTTTAATAAATATAATCTAAACAAACAACGCATTCAAAAAATTTAATTGCATTCATTGTAAAGTGCCTTTTATCTAGTTAAATAAACAAGAATGACTAATTACATGTCCGAGTTAGTTAACGCAACGAAGAGAAAAAAGTGAAGTGTCAAGAAATCAAGAGGTTTTGGTTTCCTTCTATCTAGCGTCTAACAGAGAGATGGTAACATCATTTACAGAACTGGGTGTTTGTGTACTCCAAGAGCTGTGTTGTTCAGTAGGAGCCACACTTCTCTGTGTAAAAAAACCTGGCAGCTTAGCTTCTGGCAGAACACCTTCATTGCCCAACATCCACACCACCGATGACATGTTTGGTCTATCCTCTGCAGCTTGTTGCACACACAACAGAGCCACGTGGATCGATCTAGTCACTTCGGCTGGATCGCATGAACTAACCAGTATAGGATCCACCATTTCCATTGACCTATTCTCCTTATATAGAGTCCATGCCTAAATCATTTGGTGGAATCATGTTATCAGGCATTCAGGCCTAATCATTGGATGGGGTAGGTAATGAACATAATATAAGAAAGAAGGTAGTGTGTGATACTTACATGTCCAAGCAGGTTTAGGTGGTGATCTGGATGAATAAACCGCCGGTTCTTCTTCCCACCTATGATCTCTAATACCAAGACTCCGAAACTAAACACATCTGATTTTACAGAGAATATCCCGTCAACTGCATATTCTGGAGACATGTATCCACTGCATCCAAAATGTGCACACAATAAGATATGCGGAGTATATCAATATATGCTAATTGAATGAAGAAACATATGCAGAGTATTCCAGCTGAGAGTCATGTTCTATACTCACAGGGTCCCCAAAATTTCAAGACCTCATACATATGTGTGTGTGTGTGTGTTCGTGTGTAATTGTTCCACTAAGAAGGTTGTTTAACGTGAGAAATGCAAAATGTTTACTTTTGAGTATATACATTGCACTTTTATGTTCAAAGACTCCAACTCTTCACAATGGCAATAAAATTCAACCAATCACGAAAATGCCACCACATTTTTTTATCACTCCTTTTAGCATTGTTGGCAATTTTAGAGCCATTGGATACCAAATCTAATGTACTAGATTCATTCATATTTCTTACAATAAGGCATAATCTATTCTCATGATCCGGAATCTATATGTGTGGGTAAGAATCACTAAACACACAACACATGAACACAGCCTATATTTGTTGCCCTCAATTCCTCAAATATGGGTTGATTTTCCTATATTGTAACTAAAGATAATTTTATGTAAAATAATGATCAAATTTTATCAAATTAGTATTGAGTGTTAATTCTACAGAAGTAAATAAGGGCCTAGATTTTTATATAGTCTTTGCCATGTGACTTGTTATACTTACTACGTTCCAACCACGCGACAAGTGTTGGCTCCTGTCTCATTTCCTCCAAAACTTTTGGCCATCCCAAAGTCCGATATCTTCGGGTTCATGTCAATGTCAAGTAAAATGTTGCTGGTTTTGAGGTCTCTATGGATGATTCTCAACCTGGAGTCTTGATGAAGATACAGAAGTCCTCGAGCGATCCCGTTGATAATGTTGAAGCGTTTTGGCCAGTCTAGCAGTCCACTCCGCGCTTCATCTGTCCAAATGTTTTATCTATGATCAAATCGAAGCTAAGCTACATATCAAAGGAGATCATTTAGTTTGATGCATGGCAAATGCTTACCAAAAATGAATAAATCAAGGCTCTTGTTAGGCATGTATTCATAAACAAGCATGGTTTCTTCTCCTTCAATGCAGCATCCTAAAAGCTTCACAAGATTTCTATGCTGCAGCTTTGCAATGCAAATTACTTCGTTCTTGAACTCCCCAAGCCCTTGCTTTGATGTTTCAGAGAGTCGTTTCACTGCTATTTCTTGTCCTCCTTCAAGCACCCCCTAAAATATTTAATAGATCATGATGTGTTTGCCAATGATGGGAAGTTCTTTTAAATTTTGGTCTGTTCTGTTAAATGTGAAATTGTGGCCGGGTTTATATGAATTATAAAAGAACCAGTCTACTATAAATCTCTTTGGTCTAATGTAATCACGTTTGAATGTTTCTGATTTTTTCATTTTCTTATGTGAAATATAATATTCAGTTGCTCTCACATTTAAGTTAGAAAATTTTAGGGTAATTAAGTTAGATTTAATTGTGATGCATAGGAATATATTAATCTTCAAGGGTATTTTATCAACCATACATTACAAGAGAACTAACCAATAGCAACACTCATAAGGAAATAACAGTGTCAATATGCTAATAGGGAATTACCACAACTAAATAATAATAATACTAACAATAAAATAATAAAGATTATGAAATAATAATTAATACTAACAATAAAATATAAGACTTTCTCGTACTTTGGACCGCCCCTCTCATGAGATCCGCTCTTATCATTTTATACTATAAAAAGTGAAGAGCAAAAAGAATAAGATGAACAAACCAAGGCATGAGAGTGAGACTAGATCTTTTTTCTAGCAGGTAATTCCCTATGTGGGATGTGGAAAATTGTAGGGGCATGGAAATAATGCTAAGAAAAATAATTTTGATATTTCCTTGTCATTATAACGCTTGAAGGTTCTGGTTTGAGGGCAGACGGTCGGAAATGGACTTTTTGTCATTTTGAATCTTGCCTGAATTCTGATGATCCAATAAGCCACTTTCTTCAACAAAAAAAAACTATAACACATGAAAAAAATTGAAATTTGGTTAAAATTTTTAAAGTTCCACATACATTTATATTTCTTGATTAGTTTATATCATTAAAATATCTTAAATGACATGAGTTTGATCAAATATCTAAAATTGATCCATTTAAACATTGTCCATTTAAACATTGTCCATATCTTAAATGACATGAGTTTAAAATATCTTATATTTTGGTTATAGAAAAAAATTATACTTCGTATATCCTCTCAGTTGTTGCTATACTTTCTTTCCCTGTAGGCAAACGGACATTTAAACATTGTCCATATATAGTAGGATATACAGGTGGATAGATTGGGCTGGCAAGTAAGAAAAATTCATACCTTATAAACGGGTCCAAAGCCACCTTCCCCAAGCTTGCTGTTTAGTGAAAAATTGTCAGTGGCTTTACTTAATGTAAACAGATCAAGCAGAGGCAGCTCCAGATCTTCAGTGTGTCTCTGAACACTCGAGCCCTTCATGGTGTTGTGCCCAGCACAAACTGCAAACATTATGAACAGTTATATCAATTGATCAGCTCAATTACAACTACTTTTTATTATTATTATTATTATTATTATTATTATTTCAGAAAACATTCATATGGATATTATTGTATACATAAAGATGAGGGAACAATCTTCTTATGACGTATATACCGTCATTTGGGACCTCTGGAATAGCCTTGTTCCTTTTCCTGAAATAGCAGGAGGCTGTGCCCAATACCAGAAGAACTGCAGCAATACCCAATGCCAATCCCACATACACCGCCTCCCTTCTTCTCTTCCCAGTAGATCCTTCTATAGAAGCTGCCAACAAAATCGGATCAACCACCAATATTGGTTCTTTTCTCCTAACAACAATGATACTATCAATAGTAACAGCACTAATTGCAATAAATTTATTAGGACTGATTTGGGAATTTGTTCATGGTTGAAAAAAGCTACTCCCTCAAAAACACTTTTAAAAGATGGTTTAGGAATTGGTGAGGAAAGTGCATTTCGTAGTGAGTGACAAGTGTTGTGTAAAGTTACATACGGAGTTAAAAAGATTTTATAGTCAAAATAAAAATTCTCAAATTGCAAAACATACTCCCATCCCATATAGGTTCTAACTTGACTATAACTATATGCAACTGGTAAATCACTCACTCTGCTTTTATTTGTTATGCCACATTCATTTTTTGTGAAAATGTGCTTCGCTTTCCCGATAAGAACAAAGAAATTCCAAACGGTCGGAATGAATTCCATCTTACCCAATGCGGCAGAATGTGCCATTCTGATATAGATGTCTTGCCCGGCTTCGGAAAGCTGCCTGGTGTCGACCAGGTCTCCCATCCACAGCAAGCACCCACTCCCTCCATTCCGAATGTCCAAACTCGAATATGCCATACACGAACAGTTCCTCGCACAAACCGCCTTGCATTCTCCCAGCGACATCGTTTCGTTGTACCGGGAGATGTTCGTGTCCGGCAGTTTCACGCCGGGGTACTTGATGAACCCGTCTCCGGTGCAGTTCAGAGGCGCCTCCCGGACGCACCCCGCCGACCAATCCGCACTCCCCCAATCCCCCGGATTCCTCGGAACGAACTTGTCCAAACACTGGCATACCGGAGCGTCCAGAACGTTGCAGGTGCCGTAAGGGCCGCACAGTCCGTACGCGTCGCAATCGTCCGCCTTCACGCTGTGGTAGGTCTGCCACGATCGGGTGTTCTCCACCCATGTCCGCCGCGCCGTGACTCCGTCGGGGCTCACCACCAGAGTCGAGATCACCGACTTGTTCACCAGCTCGTATCTGTAGTAAATCTCCTTTTTATTCATAACCAGCCCGAATGACGTCATGGTGTTGTTCACCATGTTCGGAGCGCCGCTCCAGTGGAGGCCGTTCCAGGGCCCGGCCCGGTAAACCACTTTGGACCCTTTCCTCAGAAGATCCTGGGGATACCCTGTGATGTCGCAGTGATAAGTGTAATCCCCGGGCGAGGGATCGCCGGAGCTCTTCCACGACGACAGGTACATTTCCAGGCCGGAAACCAAGTTCTTCCCGAGCTTCATGCTCGCCAGCAACGTGTCGGTCG